ACAAACTGAAATTCAGTTCTGCATGCAAGGGATAAGCATAATAAACTCAACTGTCACCACTACAGAGTACAGCATCCTTGTAGCCATTTTTCACTCACATGCTGCTGCTGTGAAGGGGTTCATCACAGAGGTTCATTTCTGAAGAAGTCTATCTGAGGAACATTAATAAAAACAGAGCTGCCATAGTATGTGAATCACCTGACTGAACTTCTCTCAGGAAACCACAAAGTTTTACTGTGAAATAGAGCTCAACAAGTCCATCTTCATTCTAGTATTATTTGAGAAGTAGAAAAACAACTCCTACACGTACACTGTTTATCAAGTGACAATTCAGTTACACTAAGCAAAGCACTTAGTGAGGAATTTGTAAAATTCAAGTATACAAGTTGAACTTAAATTGTAATTTCACAGTCCTGGTATGGTGCTGAATCTGACTGTATTCAAGTAATGAAAAGGCACTTAAAACATTACATTCTAAATAGTATTTGCAAAAAGTAACTTTGTTTCCTCTTACCAAAACAGACTGCAAGAAAATGTTCTTCAGAGAGTTGGGGCTAAAAATTGCATGGATTTGGGAGCTGAGAGCATGAATAACTTCTTAGGGTGAAGCAGCCTCTAATCAGAGGGTAAGCTAGGACTCATAATATTTTTTGAACACAACAAAGCATTATGAGGACTCATGACAATTTGGCAAAGCAATAGTAGTTACCCTACATTGGGTTTGGGTTATAGTTTGTGAAAATTACAGCCAGCCTTTCCCAGACCTATCACTGTTTTTAACTGACGTGCTATTCTTAAACTTAAAACAATATTTTGGAATTGTTTTCAACTAAGAAAATAAATATTTGTTAAAATTTGTTTGGTATCTGATCTTTATCAACTGTAACAGAGTTTAAGAATACATATGGGATCCCATGCCCAGATTAGAACTCAAGTAGACTTACTTGTAACAGATTTGTGATGGATCTTTTGATAAGTGAAGGGCTGCTTCTCTCTTTAAAATCACAATATCCCAGCATAATGTAAGTTCTCAGTGTTTATGAAGAACAACATTTATCAGTGTCATTTCCTCGGCTGCCTTAAATTCATTACTACTTATTATTCTGAGTTGAATTAATTCTGTTCACATGCTGAAGAATGTAATTTCAAGAATAGCGGGAAACCCTATAAAAGTAACCAGTTCAATGATTTCACTAATCTTTCTCACCAACTCCATAATAGAAAACATTCACTAAGATGTAAAGAGGAAAAGCAGGTGCTTAGGGTTGTCATAAATCTGTAGTGTTGGACACTGAGGAATTCTACCTGCCCACTCCCTTTTCTAACTTTCTGACACCCTTAGTCAGAAAGAAAGTTTAACTAACTAGGTTAACACAGTCATTACACTAGCCTCTATGCTATTTTGCCTATTTACAACAGATGTTTTGCAGGCAGTTGCTACATTTTATCTCTTTTAGTTTTAATAAAATAGGTTAGCAATGTTTGGGACATTTTAGCCTTGTTTATTGAATAACTGTCATCTCCTGGATGTAATTTGATTAAGGCAATATAATTTAATAGGCGGTTGGTTTACCACTTGCCAATAACCAGGTCAGGAGCATCATTGCACTAGACCAGTTCTGCAGCATTACAGCAGAACACTTTGCCTTACACACCATCCCTAGCACTTAATCCTGCCCTGCATTTTCCAACAGCTCTGATGTTTCGCATTCACATGGCCCCTGCAGTAGGACTGGTGAATTAAACCTCACAAGTTCCAGCAGAGGGATTTGTATGTTCAAGGTGAGATGAGAATGTGTATGCAAAAGATCCTGAATTTCTGAGTTATTCTTAGTAAACCACACATCCTCCCCAGAGAAGAGTTAATAACTAGAGATAAGGAATTGAGATAAAAAAAAATGAAGCTTGCTACATTCAGCTCTTAGAAATACTAATCACTTACTTGGCATCCTTAGGAGCCTCATGGTAGATGTTAGTTTTTGAAGCCATTTGTATAATGGTGAAAATTGATGGTGGTAGACAGTATCTAGTCTAATCAGATCACCTGCTATTGCTTTTGTAATATCTGTCCTCTACAAAGCCTATGTGATAGTGACTACCCAATCCTTGGCATTGTAACTGTGTGAGAACCTTCCTGGCCTGCATCTGTTCAGCAGTCTATAGGCTGAGTACAAGTCTTGCCACCATCATTTCTACTGCTGCAATACACCTGAGGTATATAACATAAAGTTCTACCGAGTGTGCTAGCCACCCTGTCACATAAATTCAATATCTTGTTTTACAGTGTAACAGGAAGAAGGTTGAGTGCAGTAGCGTGGAGTTGGCATTACAAGCCAGCAAGCTTCCTGGACTTCACCTGAGGTCTTGGTCTTTCACAAGTAAGTAAGAGTGAGAAGGAAAGGAAGAAAGGACTGGTATAAAATCAGCTTTCCTGGAAGCCTATGCCTTCTGCCCAGGAGATGGCGAACTTGGTCTCCCAATTTTATTACACCATTCAGTCCCTCTGCAGGAAGCAGCGATCTGGGGCTGTAGTTTCGAGAAGCCAGGAGAAATAAAGTGTTTGCAATAGCCCAAACAGAACCATTTACTTTAGCAGCTGAACAGGGAAGACAGAAATAGTACTCACTGGTTTAGCAAAAGGTCTGTCATCTGCCACCACATTTATGGGCTAAGCCAGCTGAGCACATTTCAGGGGAAGCTGGCAGAGTTGGTGGTAGTGGATGGTTCTCTGCAGCTTGCCAGTCATTTGTGATCCTAATCTGACAGAATAGAGGCCAAGTATGAGTCCTTCCTTTTGTGCCAGTTAGATGCAAATTGATCCAGGAACTGGAGAAGAGCAACATTTTATTTAAAAGGATGCTGACAACTTAGAAGGTTTCAAAACCAACCCTCTCACACAATGCGCAGTTTGCACAGATTTCTCTTTAAATAGCAATGCGTGGAGGATCTGTGATAACCATGGTTGTAGAGAGAAGGTGGAGGGGAGCCTGCTGGGGAGGGAACCC